TTAATAATATATGGTATATAATATTAATTTGTATGCAATAACTTTTATAACATAAAAAATTTACTTACTTTGCCACTCTCAGTAAGAATAGAAATGCGAACATTACATGATGATATCTTGACAATTTTTTCATTATCAGTTAAATTCATATCAGCAGCTCGTGGATGAACATGGCCAGTTATTTCTGTTACAGGGGACTCAGGATCTGCCCATCGCCATCTATGTAAAAAACCATTTTCTGTAACAGCAAGCAGTTCAGAGTGCAAAGATGCAATTTGAGAAAACTTTATGGAATCATCACTTTCATCCTAAAAATAAATAATAAGTAGATACACTTAGATTCATTCAAATACAAATTTTTGTAAAAAACACAAGTTTTATTTTATGTAAACCCTTTACCTTGAATCTCCACCATTGGATTTCCCCAAAACGCTGCGATGTTTCAACATTTGATGTAGCTTTCCTAGATTTTTGTTGTGTTGTAGGTTTGGAGGAGGAACGTTGCTTGGTGTCATCTTTCATAATCATTCCCCACCAACGATCACGTAACCGAGATGATGCCATATCTCTCCCTTCCCTGTTATTTGTAGCACTGAATGTTTGTCAAAAAAAAATCCTTTACTAAAAATTTCCCCTCCGAAACTATCTTTAAAGTAAGATGCATACATGAAATCCTCACAAATTTTAACTGATTAAAATCTAATATAATAATATATAATATAATAATAAATAATTATATAAAATAAAAAATAAAAGAACACCCTATTACTTACAATTGTTTTCTGATTTTTGGCTTTAGATTTAATATTGAGATAAGAAAAGACTCTTATTCTATGGAGATAATCTCTTATGAACTGACCTTATTTATAATAAGCATTTATAATACTTATTTGACTATTAGTGACACAAAAATGACATAAAAAAATCTATAATATCTTGTGCTATAATGTATAAAAGTAACTTGTTAAGATGGGCAGGATGGTTACAAGAAAACATTAATTAGGGTGGTCCTCAGGAGTATTTTTATAAAAAAAGTGTATTATGATTCTCTTAACATATCTACATTTGAGGCTTGGACATACAAACCGATGACTGTGATGGACAAAAACAGATTTTCAGTTGACAGTACCACTCCTTTTGCATTTATATAGCAACTTTCTTAGAAATATTGCGGGCCCAAAAAAAACTTGGAAAAAATTACAGTGGTTATAACAGAACAGAATTGTAAATCTCCTAAATAAACTCCTAAAATCAAAATATTGTTCTGAGCAACATATTTACTGCTTTTTTTTGGTAATACAGACCTTTTACTTGGTGGAGCACTAAAAATAGGCCAGTTCAAGAAAATCAAAAAACGGGCACAAATGGAACAGATAAATTAGCAACTAACTTAAAAAAACTGTTTAACAGTGTTACCAATATTTTCAAGAAGGATAATAGTGACATTTTAAAATGAAGGGAATTACTGGGGAAAAGAATAAATACTTAATTACTTATAATAATTACTAGGAAAATGAAAATTATATAGAACTAGGTCTAGTCTTCCTTGAAGAAGACTCAACATAAACTGAAACTATGCTCAAGATTGATTCACATTAATTTATGTTATGTGAGCATGTGAAATTTATAAGTGGTCAAACAGTGCAGAAAGTAGAATTGCCTAATAAAAAGGGCAAAGGACAAAGACCAAAAACATTTCCTGTACTGTTTTGTTCTATAGCCACTACCACCTGAGTTCGTATAAAACTAAATTGACATTAATGTGCAAGAAGACAAAAGTATTGTAAAGTGCTATGAAAAGGTAATTAACCACATTCACTGTCATAAAATTACATTGCATATATATATATATATATATATATATATATATATATATATATATACATGCAATTTATTTATATTTATTTTATTTAATACTTATAAAATACTTATAATTAATAAACCTACTTGTTTTCACTGCTTTGAGTACGATTAGTTGTATGATATGCTTCCCCTCTTGTGTACAATGGATTCAAAAGAATATCTTCAGGAAAAAGGGGATCTCTTTGAACTACAAAAGGCTCTTCACTTGGAATACCAGCTTCAAATATTGAAATTAAGTCATCTAAAATTATTCAATAAATTAATACAAAAATTAACAATTTTTAATAATTATCTGTAAATAAAAAAAATTACCATTGGGCAAGTAAGCCTCTTGTATATAGCTATCTTCGTTATCATCATCAGGATCATCATCATCACGAGAGAGAAGATTATTTACAGCAAGATTTACATCTAGGCTTGTTTTTTGTAATTCACGAATTATTACTTGTCGAGATTTACCTTGTAATACAACTTGCGCCTAAAAGTTATCAATTTAATTATGTAAGTTATTTTTCTGGCAATTTACCATAATGTTGTATAACAAAAGAAATAAAAGTGTAATAACAAAGTGAAGATATTTTATTTACGTAAAATAAATATTTACTTGTGCAATTAAATCTTCAGGTACAGCAGAAGCTGGTAAAAGAGCTCTACTAGTACTCCCTAACCAGCCAGTACCAATTCTTCCACGAGTAGCTCTAATGATACGTCCACGACCTCTCACAGATGCTACTCTACTTGCAAGTGATGTTATAGTACCCGTTGAGCTTGTTGATGCAGTACTTATTCGCTGTGATGTCCAACGACTGCAATATTAAAACTAATTTTTGATGGAAATATTTAACCAAACACAGAAACTTGTTTACAAAACATTGTTTGTAAACATTATTACATATTGCTTTATTAACTTAGGATTGCAACATGCAAGATTTCAAAACAATGAAAACTAAATAGACACATGGCCTACTATAGTGACCGGCTGAGGCTTAAAAAAAACTGTAGGCAAGTTTTTTTTATAAATTTCAAATTTTTAAATAATTTGTAATATGGCGCATTTCAGAATAAGGTCTTTTAATTTAATATGCAA